AAGAAAATAGATTGCAGAGAAGAAAAGGCAATAAAACACTAATCCATCCTAGATAAAATTACGATATATATTCCATTCCAATCAATACCAAGATCAACATACTTATGTGTCATTTGATTGCACTTTTTAGATGTCTGAATCTGAAAAGTTTGCTTTTCAAATACCTTGCTTTGTTTGTTATTACCTCTTATTACATATCTGAGATTGGATTTCAGATTTTAATTTCTTAGAGGTGGAGAAGCTGCTTAATGTGCTTAGACTTAATTTAGAGGTGCATAAAAGACATAAATACCCTTAAAGAAATTTTAATATTACATATTTTTTCCTTTCATGTAAATCCAATCGAACACTCATTGTGAACTGAACGAAGCTCCATAGCCACCACTGCCGCTGCACTCTCTCTATCTCTCTCTCTAACGGTAGTGGTTCTTCTCTCTCGCTCTCTCTTCGCCCTGTCTTCCACTACCTTACAACGGCATTGGTTCTTCTTTTGCTCTCTCGATCTCTCTCTCCTCCTTGTCTTCCGCCACCGCCGCAGGAGTTCTCTCACTCTCAATCTCTCTCTTCACCCTGTCTTTCACCACCGCCGCGGTAGTTCTCTCGCTCTCTCTCTCTCTCCTCCCTGTCTTCCCGCTCTCGCTCTCGCTCTCTCTCTCTCCCTCCCTCCCTCTCTCTCTCTCTCCCTCCCGTCTTCCCACCACCGCCACTGCCGCTACAACTTGTAGTGGCAGCTCTCTCCCCTGTCTTCTCTCTCGCTCTCTCTCTCCTCCCCCCTCTCTCTTTGTGTCTTCCACCGCAATTTTTTATTAATTATTTTATTATTTTTATTAAACATTAATTATTTATTATTAAATTTACTTGTGTCATTTATTAAATATTTTTATTAAATAATGATTTTTAATGATTTTATTAATTTTAAAAATTATTTTAATTTTAATTTGTATAAATTAATAATTATTAATTATTTTAATATTTTTATAGTCATTAATTATTTTAAAATTAATAATAATTTTATATTTTTAATTGTTTCATTTTTTAATTAATAATTAATAATTTATTATTTATTATTTGTATTGTTTCAATATTATTTTAAGGTTGGAAATTATTTTTTATGAGATAATGTAAATTGAACTCAACATTTTCAAATAATATGTTCTAGGGGTAAAATAGTAAAATCAGTAAATTTCAGATGGTAAAGGGTTTATCCAACACAAACAAACTTATGGTTTTAGATCCTCTAAAAAGTATAATTATGCCTCTTTTCATATTTCATACACTTTTAATATCTTTTTAACTTTTCTGATCTGAATTTTCAGATTTATCAAACACCACCTTAGAGAAAAGTAGGACGGGATTGGGAACGCATTGAAAACATATAGGAACTGTGAGTTTCACTGATTCTCTCCCTCTTCCTCAACTCCCAACCATGGCAGGATGCAAGGAAAACAAAAATAAACAAAAAAAAAGGAAACATAGGAGAGATGAGAGTTGGGTTTACCTGCAAGATTTCAAGATTTTGGCCTAGGATCGAGTACTAAAACAAGGAAACCCAAGTATGTGTCGTTCCTAATTTCCTTTTTTGAACAGCAAGGATGATCGAAAATTGCAATTAGGGGATTAGAGAGGAGGACGATTCTATGGGTATGAGCTTCGCTCGAACTAAGTGTTGGATGTCATTGTCAGCTTTGTTAAATTGTGAGGAATGACCTGAGTCGAATAAAAATTGCCATTAGCTTGAGATGGACAAGTAGATATCTCCAGCTAAGGAGAGAGAGAGAGAGAGAGAGAGAGAGAGAGAGAGAGAGAGAGAGAGAGAGAGAGATATTTGGGAAACTCAATAGACTAGTGCGAGTCCAACGATATGAGCCATAACTGAAGGAAAAAATTAATGGCTTAATTAATGAGAAGAGATAATTAAAGGAGTTAATGAGAAAGATGAGAGGGAGTTAATGGTAAGTTAATGAGAGGAGATAAAAGTCTCAAAGTTTATTGTCCACTTGAGTTATTTTGTTCAATTTTAAAATGAAAAAATTAAAAAAAAAGTAGAAAAGAAGATAAGTGCTTCTCGATAACAACCAGAGAAAAGATATATGCTTCTCAAAAATATTTGGAAAGCAGGAAAGTGCCAGATTGGCATGTTCCACTTTAATATATAGATATTCATGGTGTTAATTTATTGTTAGATAGTCATTTATTTTAAAATGTTATTTGGTAAAACATTTATTTGACAAATTTTTGTCTCAATTTGTGTGAGAATCAACTGTTGGAGGAAGTTTCATTTTTAGTGTTTTCCTCAACACCTAGGTATTTTTTTATTGTTCATTTTATGTGGCACCTAATGACACTTAATTACACCTAATTGTCAAACAACACCAAAAAAACGTTTATCAATCAATGTTCCTATTTCTCAAGATAAATCCCATACAGAATGTTTCTTGAATAAATAGTCATGGTACCCAACAACCTCTTGGTGGAAAATGGTGACAAAGTGATTGAAGAGGCGACAATGAAACCTAAGCTAGGCTCTGAATTTCTTGTATTTTTTTCTCCATGGGTCTACACAATGGGCGAGGGGAGGGAGTAGACCATTCCCCAACCCTACTGTAGGTGGGATTTGACCCCAAGTCTCCACTACAACCAAGAGGAGGCCTTACCAACCAACCAGTTGGCACCTTGTGGCTCTGAATTCCAATTGCTCGCTCATGAAGTCCATATATAAGAACCAATGAGAATTTGGGTTTCTACATGTAAAAGTGTTTCTATTAAGCAAAGGAAGATTGCACCGCCTTAGAAGGATCCCACATTGCTGCATTAGACATCTATTGCCACCAATTGTCCACATAATGACTCAAATTGTTTGGTATCATTTGATTTAGGATGTGTTTGTTTGCATTGCATTAAAGTTTGAATGTTTCTAAAGCTGTAATAATTATTTTAAGAGATATATCGAAGCAGGGGTGGAACCAGGGGGTGGAAGAGGGAAGCCATGACCCCCCTTATGCCTTGAAAATCCCCATTGTAGTTATTTAGATCCCACATATATATTTTTTTCTCTCTTACCTATATTTTCTATCTTTTGGCCCCCCTCAATAAAAAATCCTAGCTCCGCCCTTGTATTGAAGTTAGTGAGCTTTTCTTGGTTCAAAAATCTAAATGCTGATCTTCGAAAAAATTATAGTTAACCATTTTAACCCTAGATAAGAGAACGATTGTTGATTATGCTTATTTCAAATGATTAATTAATTCCTAAAAAATCAATTAATTTAATTGATCTATTAATAATCAATAATTACTAATATATAATTATAAATAATAATTAACTAAAGTATCAATATTATTAACTATAACTAATAAATAATAATAATAATATTATTATTATTATTAATCCCTTTTGAATGATGAATCTCCAATTCCAAGAATCTACTAGGTTTTATGAAATGAGACCATGAAGTAGCCATACAAGCATAAGAATCTCCAAGCTAGGGACAGCGAGATGTATGTAGCTGTAGCATTTGAACAGACTTGCCCTTAATTAGTGCAAGTCCCACGTCAGGATCATCAATCAAAAGCAAAGCTGTATGTAGCATTTGCATAAGCCCAGTACAAGGTCAGGAGCACCAATCAAAAGCTAGCAAAGCTGCAGCATTAGCATATATAGGCTCTTCCCCTAGTTCTGCCAAACTATATATATATTTGTCTGATCTTTTTTTTTTCTGATTGTTATCTCTGGGATTGACATGATATCGATCCGACCTCATTGCTTTGATTCCAAGCTTCAATGACTACTCTCAGTCTCAGCCTGTGTCTTTTAATCCAAGGATCACCCACTGCAGCTAACACATAATTCTAAGCAGAAACCAAGCCCCATAGATGGGAGAGAAATTAAGAGAAGATCAAACACACAAATAGATTTTAATTAAATAATAAACTATTCAAGGTTGGAGGGCTTTAAGTTCAAATGCAAGCTAGAGGGCTTTTCGTAATGACTATTATTTAATAATTATTTCACTGGTTTCCCAACTATTAATATAACATTTTTTTCATTATTACCATAAATTATTATTATTATTATTATTATTATTATTATTATTAGTATTATTAGTATTATTATTATGATATGCACTAGTTGAGCATGCACGAATATTTGTTAAGTAAAACTGAAATAGAAGGAACTTCCAATGTTAGTATTTCATGTTCAAGAGAATATTAATTTTTTTTTTTAAAAAAAAGAGCCCCCGAATGATGATTTATGGCTTTTTTTGATAAAAATAAAAATTAATTACATCTAAATATTAGGCGTGAGAATCCATATGATAGTAAAAGTCTTAATGAATTTTCTATGAATATTTACACAAAAAGTAATTAAATAATTTAATTTATAATAATCATCATTAATTACTCTTATTCTAACTAAATTTAAAGTCAAACCAGTGAAAATACTAAAGGCTAATTGATGTAATTATTTCTATTTTACTTATTTTAACTTAATCTATTTAGATTAAGTAATTGTAATTTACTTTCCTAAATTATAAGTTAATTAAGTACAATATTTTTTAATAATACACCTAATCATACAAGAGCATTCTCTTCAGCGATGTTTTGCCCATGATTTCAGCTATTCGGCCCATGGCGGAGAGAATTGTGCTCTTTGAAAGGTTAGAATAGTGAACAGTGGTTTCCACTCGCATTATTGACTTATGTTACTGTAATGGAAGTCATTTTGAAAATGTATCAAACTCATTATCGAAAATGAGATGAGTATTTACGTCTTTTTATACGCTGGTTGACGGTCCGTTAAAGGTAGGTAGCAGATTATCGTATTTCGAAAGTTCAGAGTGTTGGATTGTCGTAAAGATCGGGACCAAATTATCACTCGAGCCAAAGTACAGGTACTGATCGGAAATTTAATTAAATAACACGGTTCCCGCCATTCCGCCAAAAACACAAGGTGCGTTATGAGTAAAATCTGTTTATTTGAATGTTCTGTTCATAACAAGAAATCCTCTTACTTCTTCTTCTTCTTCTTCTTCTTCTTCTCTCTCTCTCTCATATTCGAGATTTCGAGCAAGACTAAGAAAGCAGTAGCAAACGATAGGATCATAGGAAATTGACGAATGGAAATAGCAAAAAGCGATGAAATTCAAGACATTCACGAGCTCCAGGAGGATCAATGGGAAGAAAGAACCCTTAATCTTCTTGCAGACTCGAAGATCGACCAAGGTCTCTTTCTTGTGAAAACAGAAGTCTGCGTTTCATCTCTCTCTAGATAGAACCTTCTATTCTTGGTTTCAATTATAAAGTGACCTCAAATTTTTCGACAAAATTCTCGATTCTCATGTTCTTCTATATTCATGATCATTTTTTTTTTCTTTCGTATATTTGCAGAATTTTCGGCGGCTAAATCCCAGAAGAGGGGGCGAAGAAAGCACAGCCTGAAATGGATGAGAACTCCAATGGCGATCCCTGAAGTTATTCTTGAGCTTCAAGAGGAAAAACTCAGGGAAACAGCTTTGCGATGCCTCAGTACTTTCTTAATCGAGGTTCTCTTCTTCTATGTCTTATTTAGTATCTAATTGCTCTCTCATACCTTTCTTCGATAATCTTTCTTCTGATGTTATGCCTTTTCTACTTGGTGATATGGTTGTGGAATGTTAGGATTTCTTAATTTGCATTTTTTTTTTTAATTTTGCATGATTTAGCTTCTTCATAATTGGGTAAGAGATTTTGGGTTTTTGTAAGCTGGGTTTCTTAGTTCGAGTGTACACTTCTTCCTTGTTTATATTTTTATCTGGTTTTTATCAAAATCGGTTCTAGTAATATCACAGGTTTCAGGACTTGCTCTTTCATTGCCTGGGTTTTACATATACACGCACCTTGGGTCTTGATGTTTTTGAATTTTTCTGTAGCGGACGTTGATGATTTGAACTTTATCTTTGTTTTCCATGTAAAGACTTATTATCTCTACGTTTCTATGCTTCTTGATTTGACTTTTTATGATTTTGGGTTGAATTTGTTTTTGGTATTTATATGGGTTTAGGCTTATTCTCTTATCTGAGGTGTTGATTCTGACTTGGTATTATATAGGTTTAATTTGTTTTTAGTGATTGGATATTAATGATTTGTGGCAGCGGAGGGAAGAAGATCCGGAGAACTATTATAGAACTGGATTCTTGCTTTATCATTCCTGTGGTACAATGGCCATCTTAGTGCAGGTTTCTGCAAAGACATCGTTCACTCATCATGTTTGTATTTTATTTATCAGAAAACCCAAAAAGGAAATAAGAGAGGTAGTGTGTTCTTTGAAACAGGAAATGGTTGCATTTTTTCAAAAGATGACAGATGGGAGTCTTAATATAAGATCTTCTAAGCGTCTTGCAAATGTTATCACCCTTTTACAGGTGGACAGCATCTTTTTCTTGTTCATACTACTAATTTTTCATCCTTTCCCTTGTATTGATTATTGTGTTTACTTTAGAGCATTGCTGCTAACCATGAAACAAGGTGGAAACTTGTCAAATGTAAGAGTTCAATTCATGCTCATTTTCAGCTCTTTGATTTTGCTTCTATATTTTCTCTTATTTAAGTTTCTGAGACCTCCATTTCTTTTTTCTAATTATTGTAGCTCGTGTGCCAAACTTCTTGGTACCTCTGATACTGTTTCAGAGCCCATTGGAGGTATTTCATAATGTTCGAGCAGTTGCACTTTCTGTCATTGGGATTTTATGCCAGGTGTTTGTCCTTTCTAGGCTGCAGTCACTTATTATAGACCCATCACAATGGCTTGGGTTAAACTTAAATAATTCTTCAACTGTTTAATCTGTTAATTGAAGACTAGAGATCGGAAGGTCATCAAATGGGCTATTGAAAGCAACATGGTGGGAATCTGTCAGATATCCATAAAGAATGGAAATGAACTCTCCAAAGTGGTAGGTATTGTCTTCAATTGTTGTTCCTCATTTTTTTTCTCCACCATGACTCACTCAACACCATAATCAAGTTAAACTCGCTAACTCAAGCTGGACTAAATGTCTTTGTATTTGGAGGTTAACATAATTAGTCATCAACAAACCTACAAATATACAATTACGTTATCATATATTAATGCGGTACAAGGTCAGATAATAGAACCATCATTTGGGCTAGTTGCAATCATCTAGACCACTCAATGCATACTAAAGATCTATGCACTATATGGGTTCCAAGTCCAAGGTAGGATTTGAGCTGCTTAGATGATCATAAGGCCCACCCTATGATCCCTATCATTTTACTTATTTGTAGAATTCCACTAATATTGCTACTAGATATTTATATCAAGTCTCAAGTCACTTTACTGGCTGAAGTCCACATCCATCAAAAGCACTGAAACCGAGCCTCTACATTGTTGAGTTCAAATTCTACATTTCTTTGCTTTCTTCTGCTTTGATCAAAAGAGGATACTTTATTTACTTTTACCTCAAATTATGTTATTTTAGATTGGAATGCACATATTGGAAGCAATACTGCAAGATTGGTCAGGGATATGCTACATTTGCAGTCCAAGGAACAACCATCTGCTAGGATTGATGGAAACATGGGATAATCTGGTATCTTATTTTTCATGCTCAACCAATTTGTTGTAAATCATGTTTTTCAATTTGAACCCAAGTCATTCTTCTGTTTTTTCAACTTTGAAATGAAGGTTGCTCTTTTGGCTGTGTATCAAGATTTCTCTCCTCGACTCCTCTTTCACATTATTAGATGCTATGTTCTTCTCTGCAATCATATGAGGTAACCTACATAAATAATGAACTGTTTTGTATTTTAGCTTATTCTCCTTCCTTGCTGCCTACACTAGCATATCTAGCCTTTTTTATTCTTGTAAAATGTGTTGATGGCTTGATGCCATATGAAATGGAGTCATTCATGTCAGTCTTGCATAACATTTGATACTTGAAATGATTTCATTTTCTAAAAAAAATCTGAAATAAATGGTTCTATTATAGATTGGTAGTGAACATGTTCTGAAGTTCAAAAAAAGATCACAATTTTTATCATTTTCATTTCGCGTGACATCCAGACAAACCATTATAATACCAGTATTAATGTGATCTTTTTCCAAACCTAGTACCTGCTACCACTTGCATGCCTGTAGGATGCAGTTGACCTTGTTTTCTTGTGTAAAATCTGCAAGTGTATTTGGTTAGTACTATTTGTTGTTAGCAGAGTTTATTCTCACTTAAAATTTGGTGCACGTACGGAGGCAGAAAAAAGTGTGGAAGGGGTGGGGTTGAATACACCATCCCAGGTTCTACCTAGACCTCACAGGCCCAAATTAATAGAAATGGATGATCATTGCCTTTCATAATGTGCATGTACTATGGTTTGTCATATTCTCTTTCTTGTCATGTAAGAAATGCAAGATACATCCGAGAACTGATAAATTGACAGGTCAATTTTTGCACAAAGTATTTCCACACTCCACACTGAAAACATGTCTGACAAAATAAAAATTCACAACATTTCAGTATTAACTCTTGCATTTATTTTCTCCTCATCTAAGCCTCAACCCTAGCAATAATTTAGAGAAAATAACCAAACTACATACCTTATGCTGATGCCCACAACCAAAGACCATGTTTTTTGAATTAGTAAGGCAGATGGGACAAAGCTGTTCATCAGGTTCCATTTTGTTGTTGGGCGTGGGGAGGAAAACACGTTAATAATGTTGAAATAGTTCCTAAATATATGGTTCATCCATTTCTGAAATAGTCGGAGCTTTGAAGTTGCACCCACCACCCACCTTAACTTAAGGACTAAGCTTTCAAACACTATTAATGAGATGATGCCGGCCCATCTGTTGAGATTGACCTCACAATGCAGCGGACCTTTCAGAGCTGCATTTATAATTGTTGCTATATATACGACATGGAATTTAGGGTTTGTATTTTGGTTATTAATTTCGTGAGAAAGGGATAATGAGAAAAAGTCAATAAAGTGGATGTTTGTGGGGATACCCATTTGTAGCCAAAGTGGATGAGCCTTGTTTTGGAATGCAGACTAAAAGCTAAAGATTGAATAGCTTAGCATGTAGCTTTCCGTGGTCAAAGTCTGTAGTATAATGCACCTCTGCTTTCTCTCCCTTTTCTTTAAAATTTTAACTCTTTTGTCTCTGCATCTTCTGTAGACAATAATTGTGTGGAGTAATGAAATGTTTTGTTGGAGTTATGGTTCAATCATCTGCTTAAGTTATAACTTTTGATTTTAAATTCAAGTTGAATACTGTCTTGGGAAACTATCTTAGGTTTTACAACTTGACATTTTTACCAACTTCTTGACATTTTTACAACTTCAAGGTGATCTGCTTTATGAGCTCAGTTATTTTAATTTGGTAAGGAACTCAGAGGTGCATGTCATAATTATGTCAAATCCTTGAGTTTATTGCCATTGTCTCAGGGGATTTAATATTGTGATGGCAAAACTTCCCAAGCCACTTTTGGATGGTTCCTTCCAAGACATGCTAGAGGTATATTATTATCAAGCTTTAATGGTAATTTACTTTCATTATTTGATTATGCTGGACAAATAATGACTTGTTAACTGCATGACTGCATGTTGCATTTTTACTCTAATGGTACTTCAAAAGGCATTTTTTTCTGGCTGTCTAGGAGTTCCCAGTAATTCGGAGTTTGCTTCACCATTTGCTGCTAACCATTGGCAATGCCGAGAATTGCTTCCTTACAACTCCCTAGAGTTCTTTGTATATACATTTGAATCAAGCTTGAGTCCTAGATGTGACATGATTCTTTTGTAATGTGAAAAGTTTGTAACAAGTAGCATTTTATCATCGAGGCTTTACTCTTGTATCCCTACTGATGATTCAAATGTTAACACTTGGAAAATACTAAATCGTCTAAAGGGAAGTTTGCAGTTGTATTGTCATGAAGGAAAAGAGCATTCCCACACAGAACATGCAAATAAAACCAATTTCTGTGGAATAACAACATGCCAGGGTACTTGATTTGGGGGAATATGCGACCATTGCCATCTGCGGTCACAGAAACTAAGTCTATACAAATTACAAAATGCCACAATATAAATTTTCATCAGCAATTTGCAGCTTCAAAGCATGTCACCGCACAAAAATGATATCTCACAAATAATTGATACCTTTAAGCTGAATAAGGTTTCCTATTTCAGTATTTCTTGGTAGCATCAGTTATGAATGAGTTCCAGAGAAAAAGGGAAGAGAATTTATTGGTAAGTCTGTGGTCAAACCTAAAGCCCCTTATTCAGGCACGTGGCTTCCTATTTATTCAAGAAATAGTATTTGAGAAGTGATTTGCTTCCATTTAAAAACACAATTCATATCACTCTACAAAAGTTGAGAGTGGTCAACTCCAATTTCAATTAAGTCTTAAAGCTTAGCCACATATCAAACCACTCTTTCAAAAGTGAGGGTAGTTAAATAAAAAACAATTAAATAACGGTTTCTCATCTTTATAAAAATAAAACCCAATTTATTCTCTTAATTAAATAATAAAAAATAAGTGTTAAACAAAAATGATCAGCATATATATATATATATATTAATTACTGTATGAGAATGTTCAATCAGATGATTTGGCCAATAAATCATTAATTCGGGCAGTCAAACCATTGAATCATCAACCCGAACAACAGTTTTTGATCGTTTTTACATTTTTAATGTTTTTATTTTTATGTCAGAATGGGCAGTTTGTTCGCTTTGAACGGTTCCTTGTCCGGTTAATTTTTAAAAACTTGTATATAAGTTCACTGTCTTGTCACCGGTGGCCTTCTATCCAATGGGCTGGAATTGGCTTGCTAGGCTTTTCCAACAGCCACAAAGTCCAAGAATGAGGCAATGAGTTTAGACTTTAGACACCATAAGGAAGAAGTTAGGTATGAGAGAGAAAGATTGTGTGGTTTAAGTGTGATTGTGACAGGGTAGTGTAGACAGTGTCTTACATTTGGTTCCTTTTTAGAATTTGAAAGAAAACAAAAGGTAAAAGAGTCACAAGGTATGTTTAACTCAATGTTAAAAACTCTAGGTATGTTTAAGTTAATTTAAGAAAACTCAGGGTATGTTATGTAGAACACTAATTTGTTGGGCTATAGGGATGGATCATAGAAGGAGTTTGCCCACTTAGACCTATTATGATTTATTGAGTTAAATAGAACAGTCATTTGGACCAGCAAGCCTCAAACTATCATCTACCCATTTAAATAATGGACCTATAAGGCAAGCCCCATTCCACAGGCTTAATATATTGGGAAAATCTATGATGCCCAAAAGACATGGTACGAGAAGAGCTTTGACCAATTAAAATCCACCCATGAATAGGAATGGCAATGGGGTGGGTTGGGGGTGGGACACCCCTTTCTTGTCCCCACCCTGTAGCCAAGATATTCTATCCCATCCCTGATGGTGTGGCAAGTTCGGGGTAGGCCACTTACTCCTCATCAGGGATGGGGAATCCTTAAAGTTTTCCACCCTGAGGCAATCACCTAAAAATAATCTAATTCAAGAACATTTTAAAAATAGGATAATAAAATTTAGGGGTATTTTAAGAATTGGGTTATTGACAATTTGGGGGTACTTTACAAACGAAATTATGAGATTCTAGGATTTTAAGAATTTTGAAAAAGATTAGAAGTATTTTAAAAATTAATATTAAATCTAGGGACTTTTATTAATTTACCATTGGGTTTTGGGGCAAACAACATTTTCTCGTCCTTATTTCAGATCAGGAAAAGCTTGCCCCATTCTGTGTATGCAAGTATATTAGCTATGGTTGTCAATGGGTCAATTTTACCCAACCAAACTGATTTGATTGAATTGATTATATTGATTCTAGTTCTTGCTTGTTCCAAACTAATTAAGACCTGAATTGATTATTAAGTTGATAATATATAAAGGTTTCCTAGTTTTCTTGTATTTTTTTATTCTATTTTTCTTTAAAAGGGTAAATCTGAAAGACTATATATAATAATTTTGATTAACAGATTTATTTATTTATTATTTCTAGGCTCTATGTTAGACAATGTTTATACCCTCAGCTCCAATTGACATATTATACATATTTTCGTTATAAATAAAAGAGCATCCATTTCATGTGTCATTGGTTTGTTCTGATAATACCTTTAGTTCATATTAGTACTAGAAGGGTCCCATGTGATGTACTGCAAAAGTTGTTATCCAATGCGATGATGGTGGGGATTAAAATTGAAGCAAAAGAGCAATCTAAATATTGTTTTTGTTAGGAAAAATTGAAGCAAATGGAATCTTGTGACATTTCCAACTGGGTTGTAATGGTTTGAATCCAATCCAAGTATTATTTTTTGGTTAGATGAACTTTGTTATAAAATTAAAAAATTATTAATATTTTAAAATTTATTCAATTTTAAGATTTGAATTTAAATTTATTAATTAATTAAAAGGTAAAATACAAAAACCTCTCTTATAGTTTCACCGTAACAAAAACCTCCCTTAAACTTAAAAAAAAAATCAACAAAAACCTTCCTTCCGTTACTTTCCTGGACAGTTAATATTACGAAATTGCCCCTGAATAATTGTCAGAGCATAAACGATGCCCATTTGACAACCTACGATGCTATATTATCTCGCAATACATACTATCAAAGCTATATTCCTGCCTCTATATATACATATTATCTGCCTTCATCTACATGGTTTTGCAACTAAAAACCCCTCTCAAAGGCGTCTTTGAGAAGAGCGGAGAAGTCGTCTGCATCTGCATGGTTCAACACAAATAATAGAAACAAAGCAGGAAATAATACAAAAGAGGAGAGGAGAAGGCGTCTTTGGCTACCCATAGCGAGACAGATAGTGCAGTGTTGTAGCAATTCTAAAGTGTGTTTACAATTGTAAATTTCAGCAAAAGTGTTCAAAATGACCGTCTGTTGTAGCAATTCTAAGAGATGGGAGGTTGTTGCTGAGTCTACTGTTGCAAAGGATGCTTCATCATTCACTAATGTTTCTTCACCAAGCCAAAGCTCAGTGACTTCCATCTGGTTCTACGTCAATAAGTCGATTTTGTGTATCCACCATCTAGATACACCATTTGTCATGTAAGGACAAAACAAACGATTTCAGCCATTTCATCCTTTCCCTTTCTTTCTAACAATCCATCGCAACTAATGCATCGCTTTGCTTCTTTTGATCACTCCTTCAACCCTTCTCTCTCTAGAAACGGAGTTCAGTTTTAATTTCCATGAGAAATAAGACTGCATCTGCATGAGAAATAAGACTGAAAACAACACCCAAGAAAATATGTTTAGTTATAGTTGAGTTTTCCAGCTCTTCTGGTTTTCAAGTAAACTCATGTAACGACGACCCAGAATTAATATTTCAATTATCAAAGATAAGAAAATGGATTCGAATTCATCTTGATTATAGACTTGTAGTTAGGTGTTTAAAAAAAGAGAAAACCAGTGGGAATGCCCATGGTGTTGTAGGAATGGATATACTGTGACTGTGAGATGGGAGAAACTTCAAAGTTCAAACTTCTAAATTCGAGAAATCTCAACTTAGTTTGAAGTTTGCACTAAAGTGATTGTGGGGGCCTTCTATTAAATATAAAACACATAGTACAATAATGCAATCTACGATTTTATAACCCGGGTAGAACAGGGCCGGCTGCTGGTTGTTTTCATACTGGGCTGGTAGTTAGGGAACAGAGATATGGAAAAAGACTAGAAAACCGGGATTTTTTCCTCTGCAGTTTTCCTTTTCGTTTTTTATTTGGTTCTTTTTCATTGAATCACAATCACAGGGAAAAAGATGTTTTTTTTTTTCCTTCCTCACTATAGAAGAGAGCGATGAATCGAGACTCTTTGTTGTGTCTGAGAGAGAGAGAGAGCGTCATCATCCCTCTCAATTCAATCCATAAACAGATAATGTATAAAATCTCAAACCTAGAGGAGAGAGGACCCAAACTATCAAGTCTTCGTGGTGTGAATGGAGAGAAATAAAGACTGGAAGTGCAAATGCGTGGGGCACGTGTATAGAAAGGAGGTTTTGTCGAGTTAAAACGGGGTTACCTCAGCAATTTTTTTGTAAAATTATTCATAAAAGGCTAGAGTGGGTATTTGTATAAAAAATTGGTGGATCAATCTAACGTTTTTTGCTTGGGAAAGTGACAGAAGGGAGGTTTTTATTGAATTCTTCAAAAATTTAGGAGAGGTATTTATTAAAATAAAATTATAAGAGAAGTTTTTATGATTGTTAAAAACTTTAGGAGAGGTTTTTGTATTTTATGGTGATTGCTACCTTGACCAAGCTCTCATCTAATGGGAGGGATTTTAATAAGGGGTAGTTGGGTGAAAGAAAACTAACCTTTCATCCCGCTCACTATTTTTGTGATTTGTTTCAAAACGTGACTAATTTTGATAATCAATAAAACTTTATTATTATTTTTTTTTGTAAAAAGCTCTATATGTACCCATATTAAGTATATAAAATATAATATAAAGTATTCTTAATTAAGGTCGGCTCATGGTTCAGTTAGTTGAACCATGGGCCTAAATTCCAAATCAAACCGGTAATACTAATTTTTGGAAAATCGGTAATCGAAACTAAATCAAAGTCGATCGATTTGGTTAATCATCGGTTTGATTAGTTGATTTTTAGTTTTTTTATTTTTTATTTTTATAAAATATATTATAAATAAATATATAATAAAAATTATAAATACATATAAAATATTATCTTATAAATAATAAGTAATATATTATATACTATATATATATTTGTATATATAATGCATATATAGTCATTTATAAAAATGACTAAACCGACACCTTTAATTTTATAAAAATGCTGAGCTGAAATCAAACCGATCAATTTGGTTAATCAAAATTTTCGGTTCAGTTCGATTTTTCTTGCCCACCCCTATTCACAATGATATAATTTTTATATATTACGAAAAATGAGAGCTCTAAGTTGGATGGATTTGGGTTGGGCTGAAATTAATCCAATCTCACACGAAACTCGAGGCCTCGATCGTTACCATCCCATATTTAAGTAAGGTTCAAGTCCAGTCCAAAGTCCAAAATCCTGGCCCGATTTGTACAAAAACGAGACTTCATCTTTGTTCCCTGATCTCTACGATTTTTAAGCAGGGAAAAAGGTACCTGCCTCCTGCCTCTCTGGAAGTGTTTACGAAGTTTGGAACCCTGATAAAATCATTTATTTGTTTCATTTTTTAAGTTTTTCTTCCTTCATTAGATCTTCTTTTATCTTCTGTTAGGACCATTGATCTGTCAAAATTACTGAAGTATTGCATTATTAACTCTTAATTTTGAAATTAGCTGAGATAATCGTTTCGCATTCTTCGACTTTTTTTTTTTTTTTTTTACGAGCAGCTTCTGATAGATAATTCCGTTGTGAGGAAATGGTGGTTATTGAAGAGGAAACAACACACGACCCTGTGAGTTCAAGAGCTCCTGGAAAGGAGGCTTCTATTGCTTCAGATGAAGAAACAAACAATAAAGAAGTTGAAGGTTACCAAACAGCCGGTGAAGGTGATGGAGAAGGCGAAGAGGAAGTTGCACCTCCTAAAGGTGACTCTTACGAGGATGCATTGACTGATGAACAGTTGAAAGAGGTACGTGTTTGGTTTCCACTCTTTTCATAGATTATGGTTCTGGGTTCATCCGCTTTGGAAACTAATCAGATTATAACAACATTTATTACTTTTGGGTATGTTGATTTGGCAAGAAATGATTGAATTTCAGTGCGATTGTCTCACTTCATCCTTTTCTAATCAAACTATTCATGGAAAGCTTGAAGGTGTATTCCAATATTTAGGAGGCATTTGTTATTGATAAAAAAAAAAAAAATTTTTAGGAGGCATTCAATTCTATTAATTAGCGCTGATGACCGTCCACTGAGAGATGCATTTCAGTTAATTTATCTTCTTCGGAAGCTAATCAACATTTTATATTGTATTGACGTAAAAGGTTTGCTCTTTGCTGTCGATTGCTTGATGGGTTTGCTATTTTTATTGGCACATATACGACTCGTGATGCTTCTATTTCTATACTCATTTTTTGGACATTGTTGTTTCTTGACTTCCTAACACTTCACTCCATATAATATTGCTGCCTTATAGCCATTTTATTAAATTCACCTTTGAGCCTGAGTGGTATTCTTTTGTGGCATAAGACTTTAGATCCATCCCTCCATTTTGTCCATCCCACTCTAATTTTTTGGGTGACACTCTCTTAAATCTCTCCTTTGTTATGAATTGTTGAACCAAGGTGGCTGATAAAAAAATGTAATAAAAGATATCACATGGAGCCTGCTCCCAAGTCTTGATTGTGCCCTGATTCCCTCTCCCATTGTTAGTCTTTACTTATCTTGAAACCTCTTTTTTTAGTCCTTCATAAAATATTGATAATGGATAGTCAATCTTGGGGAGGAAAATTGTCTGTACTTCATGTTCTCTATGCAATGATTGGGATGAAATGATGTTGCACTTTTTCTGGCATTTGTCCTTCCTTTGACAAAGAAGATGCTTATGCTTGTGAGGTGATGTCTAGATGCCAAGTTCATGGCTAGGAGTCAGAATTGGAGTTGCTGCTAGCAGAAATGCAGAATTTGGTGACTGAAGGTGTTAAATTTTGATGGCAGCTGTTTTGGAAACCTGGGACCCTCAGGTATAGGAGTTCTTAGGAATGAAAGGGGGAGATTTGTGCATTGTTCTTAGGACCGATTGGGGTTGGAGACTACATGAGAGCAGAACTGATGGCAGCAGTGTATGGGGTGGGTGCAAAAAGCTAAGGAATTGGGGGTGGAAAAACTTGCTGCTGGAGACTCTAAGACTCTGATAAGATGGTTACTGAATTAAGAGAAAGTTTTGTGGGAGTTCAAAAATTAAATTAAAAAAATTTAAATGGTTCACAAGGAACATGCAATTGAAGATACAGTGGGTTCATAGATTGGCAAACAACATAGCTGACCATCTTGCAAAACAGGATGCATATAGAGACCACATTTTCTGGCCACATTGTAAATTGGTTGGGGGAAGACTTAAGGGTTGGGGCTAGACTTATATTTTTGTTGATTTGCTCATTGGATTCCGTGCTTCTGTTTGTTTATTGATTATGTTGTTGTAAAGGCCTTGTTCATTAGATGAGGCTAACAATTTTATGGGTGTACTCTTCAAAAAGTTTGATATAAAATATTCTGTTATTCTTCAAAGAGAACAGAAAAAAAACAGAAAGTGGACCAATCATTGGGGGGGTGTAATTAAGTTTGCTTCTTTTTCTTTTCCTTGCTGGGTTGGTTGGGAAGCTATTGCAGTTGTGATTGTTTTGGTTGGGTCTAGGTGGATAGTTTTAATTTGTCTTGAACTAGGGATTTTTGTGTTACAGATGCTGTATGGATTGGGTGTTGCAGGTTTGGTCTTTTCCTTTGATGCTCCTTTTGTTTTCTTCTGTGTCTTTTTTTTCTTCATTCTTGGCTTCCTCCCATACGTACTCTGTATTTACAGTTTTACTTTTATTTTAAATCATTTTAGGTCACTATATGATCTTTGGTAATCCCCCAGGAACCTAAATGATTGCTCAGGTTTTGGCAGCTAAAGGATTTATTCACTAGTCATAGAATCCTTTTGTATCTTCTTTTTGGTATAATCAGGGCCCATATTGATAAAAAAAAAGTCAGGGCCCATGGATAGAGAGGAACCATAGCAATATTTTAAGGTATGTTACTTGGTGCAATGGGTTTGGTAGGGTTGAGAGTGATCTCTATTTCTTCTCAAGACCTTCTATTTGGGAGAGGTCCATGGATACTTTAAAATAAGTTGAATGAGATCAGAAATATTTTTGATTCTTGCATGACAGTATTGAGGTGGATTCTTAGGGATCTAAATACCATTTCAGATGGGTTAGCAAGGTTAACAGGGAAAGGATGCATATTGAGTTCTCTTTACCATGTTTAGCATGTATATCACATAACATGGAATGGAATCATGTTGTTTTTGTCTGATGTCCATCATGTCCATCTTCTTTTCTTATTCTTTTTTTAGTACTATGTCTTCTTTTTTGGTTGATATAGTCTCTTGATCATTAGAGTTGTAGCATCCAGGCGACTCCCGAGACCCCAGTCCTGGATGTTGAGATTGCAGGTGTGATTGTTTTTGTCTTGAACTAGTGTTGATATAATCTCTTTTTTGTTTCCTTGAACTGTTTTGATTTGTCTTTTTTAGAACTGTCTTCTTTTTTCCTTCTCTTGAATGTTTGCCTTGCCACTTGTCTTTTGGTTGCCCCCCTAATCTTGTCACAGGTTCTGGCTCTCCTGTTGATGTTCCTCCCATATCTACATTGACACCATCCCTGGAAGCCCAGACCCAAGAGGTTGATAGAATTAATTGTAAGGATGGTTCAGAAATGGATACAGATAAGGTAGCAGAGGTTTTGGGAATTTCATTGGTGGACAACAAAGGAAAGAATGAATACAGAAAAGTTTTTGGGAGAGGAAGGCAATTCTTTAAAGCCTAGATCCGTTAGAGAATTGAAGAAACTCCAGAGTAATTTAAAATGGAAAAACGGAGTTCAGAGTAAGGCTGGTAGAAAGAAGGTGGATGAAGTCATTCTCTTTCCATCCTCTTCACTAATAAGTTCAATGATTTCACCTGGATCCTTACAGGCATCTATGCTCCAAACACCCCTAGATTAAGAGAGAACTTATGGGATGATCTTTTTAGTGTTGGCTCTCATTGTTAGCTCCCCTGATGTGTGGGAGGTGATTTCAATGTCACTAGATCTGCCCTAGAGAAATCCAATGGAGGACGTCTTACTTCAAGTATGTGAAGGTTCTCCTGTTTTATGGGACCTTTCTTTAGTGGACCCTCCCGTCTAATGCCAAAGTATAGTTGGTCGAATTTGCAAGCCAAAGCAGTTTGTAGTAGGTTGGACAGATTCCTTTACTTAAAATATATTTTGTGATATATTTTAGGTGTGTCGAGAAGATTAGGTGTGTTACTGTTTATTAAACATAATGAATAAAACTACAAAGAAGCCCATGACTAGGCACCCTAATACAAAAATACATAAAAGGACAAAAATTCCCTTACACTCTCAATACTCCCTCGCAAGTTGACTATAGATATTTGTCATGCCTAGCTTGTCCAAATTGTTGTCAAGCTTTGATTTGGGAACACCTTTAGTAAGACAATCAGTCAACTGTTCTTCGGACCTCACAAAAGGTAAATAAATCTCTCCACTTGCAACTCTTTCTCTAATGAAGTGCCTATCAACCTCTTAAATTCTTTGTACGGTCATGTTGAATAGGATTGTGGGCTATGTTTATGGAAGCTTGGTTGTCACAATATAACATCGTTGGAGTATGAATTTGTATTCCTATTTTTGTCAACAAGTTCTTCAATCGTAACAATTTAGAAACCCCATGAGCCATAGCTATGTACTCTGCCTTTGCACTAGATCGGACCACAATTGATTGCTTCTTACTTTTCCAACATGCAACATTACCACCCACCAAGGTACAATAGTCAAAAGTAGAGAGCCTATCATCAATAGGACCCGCCCAATCAACATCAGAGTAGGCCTCAACCTTGAGATGCCCATGATCAGAATATACAACATTCCTTTTCTTGAACACCCCTTCAAATAGGCAAGTATTCTATTCATTGCTTGCATATGAGAAGATCTTGGGCTTATGCATATATTGATTGGCCACACTCACATCATATTATATATCAGGTCTAGTAAGACATAAGTAGAGAAGGTGACCAACAAGTCTCTAATACACGCCTTTGTCAAGACGAGCATCTCCATCATCAACTCCCAACTTATGATTGGAATCAATTGGAGTTTCAGCTAGTTTATAATGCAATCTTCTTACTTCCTGAAGCAAATCAAGGACATATTTCCTCTAAGAAATATAAATTCCCTTTTTGACTTTGCAACCTCAATCCCTAGGATTTATTGGAGATTTCTAACGTCCTTAATTTTAAATTTAGTAGCATGGAAAGACTTTAGTTTAGCAATTCTTGAGACGTCATCCCCTATGGTAACAATATCATCGACATATACTATCAACATAGTCACCTTTCTATTTACTCTTCTCTAATAAACAAGGTATAGTTAGCTTGAGATTGAGTGAAGCCAATTTTCAAGACTGCCTTTCTAAATCTATTAAACTAAGCGCTAGGTGATTGTTTAAGGCCATAAAGAGATTTTTCAAACGGCAAACCTTTCTTTCACTTCTAGGGATGTTCACTCCTAGATGAAGATCCATGTAAACCTCTTCTTGAAGATTGCCATTAAGGAAAGCATTTCTAACATCTGACATAATAACTTTAATTGAGTTCATTTTGGCTACCGGAGAAAAGGTTTCCTAGTAATCAAGTAGTGGCCTGCTGAACCTAGGTCTCCAGATCACCTTCTCTTCTCTAACTTCGTAGTAATGGGTTCTTAAAACCTGATGATCTACCAATCTGGCGAGTCTTGGACAGATTTCACACAACTTCCCCACCCCACTCCAATTATCCTCCCAAAACTTCACTCTAGAACCATCATCCACTTTAACACTAACTGAGCCTTTGAAGTTCTGAATAAAGTTCATTATGCCCTTGCAAAT